TTCTGCTTCAGACGTTCTGCTTCAGACGTTCTGTTTCAGATGTTTCAGACGCTCTGCTTCAGACGCTCTGCTTCAGACGCTCTGCTCAGATGCTCTGTTTCAGACGCTCTGCTTCAGACGTTCTGCTTCAGACGTTCTGTTTCAGATGTTTCAGACGCTCTGCTTCAGACACTCTGTTTCAGACGCTTTGCTTCAGATGTTCTCGTTCAGACGTTCTGCTTCAGACGCTCTGCTTCAGACGTTCTGTTTCAGATGTTTCAGACGCTCTGCTTCAGACGCTCTGCTTCAGACGTTCTGTTTCAGACGCTCTGCTTCAGACGTTCTGTTTCAGACGTTCTGCTTCAGACGCTCTGCTTCAGACGTTCTGTTTCAGATGTTTCAGACGCTCTGCTTCAGACGTTCTGTTTCAGACGTTCTGTTTCAGACGTTCTGCTTCAGACGCTCTGCTTCAGACATTCTGTTTCAGACGCTCTGCATCAGACGCTCTGCTTCAGACGCTCTGCTTCAGACGCTCTGCTTCAGACGTTCTGTTTCAGACGCTCTGCTTCAGACGCTCTGCTTCAGACGCTCTGCTTCAGACATTCTGTTTCAGACTTTCTGTTTCAGACTTTCTGTTTTAGACGCTCTGCTTCAGACGCTCTGCTTCAGACGTTCTGTTTCAGACTTTCTGTTTCAGACTTTCTGTTTCAGACGCTCTGCTTCAGACGCTCTGCTTCAGATGTTTCAGACGTTCTGCTTCAGACGTTTCAGACACTCTGCTTCAGACTTTCTGCTTCAGATGTTCTGTTTCAGACGTTCTGCTTCAGATGTTCTGCTTCAGACGTTCTGCTTCAGACGTTCTGCTTCAGACGTTCTGCTTCAGACTTTCTGCTTCAGATGTTCTGTTTCAGATCTCTCAGAGGTGATGTTTCTTCTGTTTGTCTCCTAGATGTTTTCCCCTCCTGTTAGTGGAAAGAACGGACCCACCTCACTGGGGAGCGGACATTTCTCCGGTTCAGGTACGTCACAGACCCCCCCCTCCTCTTCCTCCTCTTCCTC